GCCCAATATATTGCTGATGCGCTCAAAGTTAACCAGGTAATTAGTCTTCCTTCATTGTTATCATACAGTTTTTTCCTGATTATACACAGACACTTACTGAACTCTACCTCGCAGGAAATCAAATCGAACAACAAGGAGCCCAACATATTGCTGATGCTCTCAAGATGAACCGAGTAACTAGTCTCTCTCTTCACTATTATCACAAACTGCTCATCTTACACAGACACTTGCTATACTCGACCTCACACAAAATCGTGTCGGTCAACAAGGAGCTCAATATATCGCTGATGCGCTCAAAGTTAACCAGGTAATTAGTCTCTCTCTTTCTTTTCATCATACATCTCTTTCTGTTCGTTTTACAAAGACACTTACCACACTCGATCTCAGAGAAAATTGGATTGAACAAGAAGGAATTCAATGGATGCAACGATCTTTGAAGTCAAATAACAACTTAAACCGTGTATTGGTGATGTCCGACGAAACCAGTGCTGATTTCTAATATAATTTCCTTGTTTTAATGAAAGTTAAAATAGCTGTCTGTGTTGTACCATGATTTTTGTAAGGTTATAGTGAATATAATCATGAAGCAACTCTTTATTTTGAGACAAATAAAAATACTATGTAAACATCCTGCTTTTTACATTCGATGATGTGATATGATACCTATCAGAGAATAGCTGTTAATAAAAAAGTGAATTTAACATATGGGAACATTACAATTGTTTGACTCCAAAAGTTTATCGAAATCAAAATGAAGAAGAAAAAATCTATATTGCTATTTCTGAGAACTGTTGTCCATTTCAAAATATAATGTGCTCCACTGTTTTTTGAACCACTCATGAACACAATCAGCTACAGAACTACGGTTTTCACCAATCGATAGAGCAGACAGGAGCATGTCTTTTATTCTAATATTGTGTTAGACGAAATCATTTTAAAATCAGTTATTTCTGCAGAACATTGCAAAAAACATATAAAAACGGTATGTCATTCAGATGAAGTTTTGAGCAAAAGTAAGAAAATTTGCTTAAAAATTGAAATAAATCCATAGTTTTCGTGCTAGTAAATAGACGATTTTATTTGATCAACGTTAAGATGACGTAGGTGAAGTTAGCACCATATTCGAGTAAAACCATCCCATATTCGCCTAGGAACATTGAGAACATGTTCCTGTACGAATATGGAACGATTTTACGCGAATATGGTACCAGAATTCCAATAGGAAAATATAGTATTTTGGGATTTTTGGTACCATAGTTTGAGCTATGAAAAATCTGATTGCACCATTGGATAGAGCTCATTGAGTTGTACTTGGAACACCATTGGAACATTTGGAACATGTTCCTAGGCGAATATGGGATGGTTTTACTCGAATATGGTGCTAACCTCACCTACGTGTTAAGACGTGGAAAGATAATCATTTGAATAATATGTTGAACTATAGATCTCAAGTCCCTCTATCTAGATCACGTGTCAACATAACATTTCATCTGGATGATATACCGTTTTTATATGGTTTTTGCAATATTCTGCAGAAATAACTGATTTTAATGTGATTTCGACTTATACAATATTAGAGTAGAAGGCATGCTCCTGTCCACTCTATCGATTGGTGAAAACTGCAGGTCTGTAGCTGATTGTGTTCTTGAGTGGTTCAAAAAACAGTGGAGCACATTATATTTTGAAATGTACAATAATAATTCACATGTAAGTTATTCATTAATGGAGGATGTTTAAACGACAACTTATAGTTTCAATGAGTGTCTTTAAAGTCCATGAAAACAGTTTGATGAGTGTATGTTGATAAGCTTAATTACCAATTTGAGGAAAAGGTTGTCAGAATATGACTATTAATTTATTGTGGGTGTGGGTGTGAGTGTGGGGTGTGGGTGTGGGTGTGGGGTGTGGGTGTGGGTGTGGGGTGTGGGTGTGGGTGTGGGGTGTGGGTGTGGGTGTGGGGTGTGGGTGCGAATGTTAGTGTGGCTCTTCTAATTTATCTACACCCACCCACACCCCCACACACCGACACCCACACCCACACCCAACCACACCCACACCAATACCCACACCCAACCACACCCACACCAACACCCACACTCATCCACACACCCACACACACCCACATTCATACACCCCACACCTTTTGAACATCTGAGTTTTTATTAGTATCACAGATGAGGAATCTGATAGAACCACTTGATTCTCTATCTGAATATTAACCAAATCTTCAGTAAACATCGTTTGTATCACACATCGAACCGATATTGGTAACTAGTCAGGCAAATCTGAGCTACTCATATCGATACCGGTGCCGGTCGTCAAAAATTCAGACTGTTGTCATCTCTGAATGGAATGCTAATAATTGAATAGCATCGTTTGCAAAAAAAAACAGCCCTTTCCGTGTTACACTCCTCAACGTCAGCAAGCGTAGACAATGAGATTTCTAATCTAGAAACTTATATTTTTTGCGAAGTAATTTGCGCGGCTAATGTGTACCTGGCATATAGATATCATTTCGAAAACCAAAAACAAAAATTCGAAGTAGGAATTATACCAGATATTTGAAAAAATATTCAGCAATTAAAAAGCTGATACTATACAGGAATAGCTTCAGTAGCAATTCCATTAAAAAAAATTCTTTTGTCATCAATCAAGAGCTCATGAACTGCTATTCTTAAAACCAATATAGAGTTGGTTTTCAATCAAATTATTTGACCTTTTTGTACGATGCTTATACGAGTACCTACACATGTGAACATTGGTGGCTAAAGAGTCATTAGTGATCGTATACTAAATTCATGCGCAGTTGAATGTTAATCTATCTGTAGATGTTTTAAGACATGAATATTTAAAATGATCGAGTTTTATTTCGAATGCAAAACATCCACACGTCCATCACCTTTGATATCAAATGATGTTGTCCCTTCTACGCGACTAAGTGCTTTCAGTTGATATTTTAATTCAACATGTGCAGCAGCGACTGGATCATCACTTGTGCCTACATTGCGTATAGACGTTATTTCAACATTTGCATTGAATACATAACACCAGGCAATAGTTGTACGTGATGGAACTACGGTAATGCCATCCAAATACGCTCCTCGTCCATTTAACGAGCCGCCGTAAAGAAACTCGAGATCATAGTCAAATTGAAGAACACGTGCACCTAAACGACTGTAAATCGTTAGAGAAGAAGAACGAGAAACAGGTGACGGTGACCAAGATTGAAGGTCTAATGGACTGTTGATGTTGGCCGGTAAAACATTGCCATGTATAGTGTGAATATCAGCCGTCGCCGCACTAAACCATATCAGAGAGGAAACTTTCCCTCGAAATTTATTTATTTTGTTTTGTTTATTCTTACTTTTTAGAAATAATAGACCATACACTTTTAGCTTTATTAAATAATATTGAAGCCTCATCGATTATTATACTACTAGGAGTCGCAGTTACAGTAATTGAAGCAGGAGCAGCCATTATAGTATCTGCATCAGAATTTGACATTAAGGCATATTTATTAGCAGTAGGTATCGCAGTGCCCTAACGTATAAAATCAAAAATCAAGATATGTTTGAAATTATTGGTGTAAGACATGTAATGTGTTCATGTCTTCATATGAACAGGTATCATAATTAAGTCTCTTCCTCACTTCATAATCCTACTTTTTAAGGCATACATTTTTGCTCAGATCTCTTTTATGAGCCACTATAAGAAGTTGTTAGACAACATTAAGCAGCTGACACAGAACAGTAACGTAATCCATAAGTTAGAACAGAGAATTAAAAAAAAATGACAAAGTAGTTTTGTTTTACCAACTGATTTCGGTTATCTTGAGATTAAAAGCAAATAGATCACACAAGCATATTCCACATTCTGAACCATGCACAAGCAAACTGATAGTTAGTGGCAGAGTACAAAAGACAGTTATTTTTTATCTGTGCTAACAGTCATGCAAAAAGAAAGATTTAACAGGATCGAAGAAGTTTTGCTTCATAAAAGAAATAAGATGTTGAGGTAACTGATCATTACTCTAATTGACATGAGTGTAGATAGTTCGTACAAGAAAAAAAGATCAAATGTATGAGTAACGAATACTATTTCCTACCTTCAACTTGAGATTTTATTTTATCTACATATTAAGTTGGGTGAAAACTAGAATGCATTGCATTCCTTTCGAAAAATTCGATACGTACGAGCAATAACGGTGAAGAAGCTGTAGGAAGATGCTTTACTTCAAAATTTGGATTGATTGTCAAGTAGAGAAACAAGAGAATACCGATAATTATAAGAACAAATACAACGATTGATGGTATGATCCAATTCCAGTACGATGAAAGTATAGTTGTAGACATGTATATTAAAATCTGCAAGCAAAATTTTAAAAATCAAATTGTTTTGACATAAAATGAATAAAGAGAAAATATGATCTAGTGAATATTTCTCTTCTATTGTTTTCTTAATCTAAAAATACCGTCACAATTTGATAGTTAATTGAACATATTTTTATCAAATCAAAAATACAAATAAGATACAGTCGTATCATAGTCACTGTGACAGAATGATAAGAAAGTGATAATATCACAGAATTGTTAATGTTCATATACGAAAAAAGACTCAAATCCCCTTTTAGTTTTTCTCTTAATGTCAAATATATTCACAAAAGAAAGAAAGAAACAAAGACGATTTATTCCTATCAACTCATTTTGCATTATGATACGAGACTGAAGTACAACAAAAACATGAAATCATTGTCATAATAACTCGTAGTATAAAAATGGTGAAGCAATCAACATCATTAATATATTCCTTCCAAGACTCAATCACAATAATATAATGCGATAAAAATTATGATCACTAATTATGAGGTATTTAAGAAACAAGGTTGATGAGATTATTTTTCAAGTCGATTGTAAGATAGCAGAAGTACAAGAACCCTGAAGTGCATTTAAATCAGTTGTATATTACAGTTTATGGTAGTGATAGACTACACTAAAATTCTCAGAGCAAGCAATAAAAATCTTTCACTTCACTACAGTTTCAATATTCCATTTAGACAAACACTCGCGTTTGTCGTATTGTGTAGACTAAAACGTCGAATTAGAATAAGAAAAATTTATGAAATCTGTATTTCAAATGAATCAGCAAAGTACAGTGCGGTAGAAACAGTTTTTTCTCTTGTTGTTTTTCTAAGGAAGTTTTTGTGTACTCAAAAAGTGAGTACACTCTAGAATCGGTCAGTGTGTCCGGCCGTCCGGCCGTCCGTCCGGCCGTCCGGCCGTCCGTCCGGCCGTTAACACGATAACTTTTGAAAGGAGAGTCCGATCGCGATGAAATTTTCTACACAGTTTAGTCTTAACAATATCTCGGTCGAGTTCGAAGATGAGAATGATTGGCCGAACCATTGCTGAGTTATAGCAAAAATAGTCATTTTTCCCTATGAGAAGATAGACCCTTCTCTACATTCATAAAAAACTTTTCCTATCATAGTCATATAAAACTCCAACTATTATATACCATTCGATAGAGAATTTCACGAGCTACAAAATGGTATATAAAACATAAAGAAACAAGAAAGCTAACTCGCCCATTGCAAAGATAATTAATCGGAATTCGGTTCTGTTTTTGTCCACGCTCTATGTGATCCACAATTAGAGCTCTATCTTCCCATCACAGAGATGATAGTTCGAGATTTTCTAGAATGGAGAACTCGAATCTATGTTCCATTCGCCTCGAAATCCCATTGGTTGAGCAGTGACCAATAGAAATCAAGTTATAAGAAAAACGAGTTTCTTAGGGTAAATGAAGGTGAAGAGTTCAAATCTTCTCTGTATTTGCCTCCAAATCGTATTGGCTGAGCAATAGCCAATAGAAATTAAGTGTTTACAGAAAGGGTTTGCCAGGACAATTTTGATGTCCACACATTCTAGGGTAACTCATCTGTCTCATTCACTTTTTGAAGTACACATAACTCTCGGATTTAAATCCGAGGTTTCCACATTTATTGTTCATAATAGTGAAACATTCTATGAACCACACATAATTTCGAAGAAAATGATGAGTGTAAGCTTTAAGCCGAAAATGTCTCGTTTTCCTCTTTTTCATTACAGATCTTTGCAGTGATTTGGGATGATGCTGGCTGGAATATCTAGTGCAACATGTTACTTTTCTCCATGTTCCAATCTAATATTCGAAAATATTATTATTTTTTTTTTACTCGATAAGTTATGAAAGTTTTTCAAAAAACCGTCGACTCCAAACATTTGCTATTGCGGGATGCAACTGATGGGTAAGTATTATAATTTATGAGAAATATCTCAATAACTTTATATGAAGAATATCAAAGGATTTTCTGCTACAGAAAAGATGTCATTGAAGACAACTACGTTTTAAAAGGCGATAAAAGAAAAATTTCACTTCCATATACTATAATATGATCAAAAAGCAGCACATTCATTTTTGATCAATGAGACTACAAATAAATTCTGTGCTTTATCTATTCGTTAATCAGAAGTAGGTGGTATTTTTACATTGTATTAAGAAAGTCGAAGACAAACTTGAGAGATATGTAAGTCTCTCTTTTTCCTATGCTATTGTAAAATTAAATTAATCATATTTCAGGTCGAAAGGCGAAATGTCAAGACGATGTACCATCACCTTAGAGAAACATTTAGCAAATATTGCTTATGAAGCGTCAATGTCTTCTAAATCCACGAATATCATGCATAAAAACTTGTTTTCTATACTCTAAAAAAGATGCGTTGCCAAACCTATGTACATTGAGAAAAAATTGATGGGTTTTGTGTACTTGATACAAAACCTTTTGTAGGCTCAAAAAAGTATAGTTCATTCAATGAAAAAACGAATTTTGTATTTTGTTCTGTACAATGAACGAGTCTCGTAGTTTGCTTAGAGAACCCTTCATGGTTTTATAGAGTGAAACAGGATTGCCTACTTTTTTAAACGAACCATTTGTGTTCTCTGGGAAAAGACAAAATATTTCGCATATTTTTTAAGAAACCTTCTGCATGAACAGTAAGTGTTAAAATTTTTTTTAAACATTTTTTTGCACAGGTAGCAAGAGAGAAAATTTATACAAAACATTTTGCCTGGATAGCTTATCTTCAAATGTTTTATGCGAAACATTTTGCGTAAGCGGTAGATAAAAATAATATTTGGCACTGTAAATGAATCGGTGTTCTATTCTTTGAATAATACCCTAGAACAATGCATCTAATTATCGGATCTGTGAATATCCGATGAGAACCCACAGAAAAATATACGGTTTCCTGGCAGTATATACAGGAAATAAGTAGGAACTTAGGAATAGGAGTTCAGTAATCGAATGCGGTGACTGGTTTTATCAGATTACGATCGTTTTCGACTGATTTCCTGCTGTCAAGTTCCTACTCATTTTCTGAGCTCTTCGCGCGGAAGTAATTTGTATTATTTCACCTGAATATTATCGGTTATTTGTCGCTGCCATTAATCGCTACAACGATTGAGACTCTATTTGAGTCGAAACCATTAGACTGAAACTCATGGTTTCTAACCAATTAATTAAAACACAATGAGTTGACTCAAATCAAATTATTTGGTATTATTGCTTCTCATCGGTTGTTAAACACTATCTAGCAAACATACTAAAGCACATAAGCATAAGTATAATGACATAGCTATACGGATGTAGGCACACGACTATAGTTAGAAGAGTATGGACGTAAAATCTAGGTAAAATAGTAAAGAAGTAAAGACTTATTCTGTAGACCACATTGTGACTTACCAGCATAATACTACCTCTACTATAAATGCTAATCAACGGTTTTTATATAATCCTAATTTCGCCGTTTATGTATGTTTGCGCCATCATGATCATCAATGTATATATTTGTTTACGATCCTGGTAATGTTGAGCCTCCAATAATATTATTTTTTATTTTTCTGATAGGATGTTGAGTAGTCTGCTAAAGTTTTTCATTAAATGAGATATCAGTTAGACTGCAATTGATCGTTGAAAACAGACATATTAAGCACTACCAAAACCGATCTTGTGTTTCATTTTCAGAATATGTTGTACTACGTCTCTTATGTGAAGTCTATCATCACCAATTCATAAAATGGCTTCATACTAAACACATCCTACGCGAACGTCTGTGGATATACGAAAAGTACCTTCTTTAACCTTGTGAGTCTTTGAAAACTTCTCAGAAGGAAAGGATAACTGTCTCTCCTCGCTTATAGGATGATCTGACACTCAATTACGTGTATGTAAGATGGAAAATAGAAATTGAAAAGTAAAAAGAAAGACTACATACGTTTCAGATAAGCCTGTAACTCATATTTGTGTGACTATTCGATAAAGGAGATAACGATGGACAAATAAAATGATAAACTATATAAAAAGCACACCATTTTCCTCAAAAAATGATACGATGTCAAATTTCGTAAGTATAATTAAGATAAGAATGCTGTTGAAAGAAAAAACAAAGAAGAAAGTGAGAGTCGACACATCTTCGAACTCAGTACGAAGAAAAATGTTTTTAAATATTAAGTTAAGATAGAGTCATATGAGCAAGAACAGAATTGATAACAATGCAGAAAGAAACGACATATGACTCACACAAATGAATGTAACACAAGTTAGAATATATAAAATCTCGGTTGGACTATCGCAAACATAGATAGAAACTAGTGCTGACTATCGATTGGTCCTGTTCAATTCAATATTGATGCGGATTTTACATCAATCACTCTATCTTAATCATTTTCTGAATTTTATTGATTCCATTCTATAGCATTCGACGAAGATAAGATCGGTACGATATGGGCTCCCGACTAGTCAGTCTACTAATACATCGATTAGCTAAATAATAAGATAGACAACATCACTGTAACCACTACGGACAAATAACCGACGATAGCCAACAATGTTTCCATAAAGATCATGTAACAGAAATTTATCCGACACTGTTTCATACTAGTAGTTCGATCGAGATTATCATTGAAAAGACTAAACATGTGATTTCATCCAAGGACAATGTGAAACAGATTCATCTTGAATATTTATCCGTTGCTGTCGAAAATTTGATTGGACGGTTGATGACACATTGTAATCCAACACTCTTTCATGCTTCAATAGATCTACAAATAATAATTGATAACTTGTATGCATTAAAAGCTGAACTACAAAAGAACAATAAAGCTCTTCGTAAACTCCCACGGTCGCCAATATCTCCTATAGGATAATCATTCTTGACGAAGGTGACAATCAACAACCACAATATTAATAGGAACCAATCATAAGTAAACTAAGTATTTCTTTTAACCAGCATGCAATATGCTTTTCCATGCTGCTTTACCCTCGATAGATCTCCATGATTAAGTGATAAATCAACTAGAACAATAGATATTTTCAACTATAGATCAAAGAACAGTATGGATGTGGATCTATCTTCTCTTCATTCTTGCTCACATCCTTCAAGAACTGATTAAAATAACATCCCAACCATTATTATGTATGTAAGAAATAATTCACACATTCAGGTTTTTCAAGACTACATATCTTACTTTTCGTAGAAAGGGTTTGCCAAAGTAGATTACTACTTCTCTCATAATCATACAATATACTTTGTGCATATTCTGTAGGGTCCGATTAAAAACTCACATATATTGAACTGTATAGAGAATTTTTACTTTATTCAGAGAATTTGTCAGCTCAATATGTACAAAAGATAAATGATTAATGATCTAAAAGTATTTTCAATTAAGGAGCTGCGAATTCAAATTTAAAATAAGTATATTTAAATTGAAATCAATATGAACGTGAAATAACTTCCATTTCGTGATTCTTTGAAACTATTCTAGAAAGTCTTGAGGGTGTGGATGGGTGTGGGATGTGGGATGTAAGTGTGGGTGTGGGTGTGGGTGTGGGGTGTGGGTGTCGGGGGAGAAAATACGTACATCCAGATCTACACACTCACACACCCACACCCTTCCACGGCATCATTTACTTTATGGACGAAGCGATACGGTCTAACGATTCGCTTTGGAATAAGAGCCATTTTCTCTTGAAAAAAAGCATCTCTCTCGAAATTTAAGTATATGTACAATATCATATAATAGATTGTATTTATATATCTATATTTTTATTTTTTCTTTCGATTTCTCCTTCTTGAACCATTTCCCTTTGAGAGGAAAACTATTTCTCTCTAAATTTAAGTATACGCACAATATCATATAATAGATTATATGTTTATATAAATGTATATTATTCTCTGTTTCCATTTCTCCTTCATATTTATGACTTTATGTGGGGTGAAGCGTTTCCCCCACAAAATGGAACAATTTCCCCCATCGACTGATCCAATCGTCCACTGCTGAAAAATTTACCTGTCTTTTTGTTAAGAAAAAAACAGAAAACTTGTGTCAAAAACTTCTCCCTAGTAATCAGATTTTCTAGAAATCTTAACGATACGTAAAATAGTTTTTTTAGTGTGCTTGACAAAAGAGCAGACTTTGAAGTATAGCAGTCCTAAGTTTCGCGGTAAATGGGTGAACATCTATACAGAGATGAGAGAATCAAAAATAGTCTATTCATACTCTGTCACATCGCTAACGACGAGTAAACTCAAGTTTTTGAAAAATGTAGGCAAGTTTAAAAAAATTTTGGATAAAGATTCTGTAGCCCCCATAATCGTCTACAGAATATACCATTTTGTTTTCAAAACTGTTGCCCAGTTCGCAGTTTTTTAAACCAAAATGTATGTAGTGAAAATCGATGTCGCTTTTAAGTTCACATCACTAACGCTAGTTTTTTAGTGATAACTTCTCTCAGTAAAGGTCTCTAGGATTGATTTTCTCAAGGTATCTAGAGTAAGTTAATATACATATGGCATAAAAAAATTAGTTCTAGCAAAGTTCATTATTCAATGATATACGCATTTTAATTTTGTCAAGTCACGTTGCTGATGAATGATTTTGCCCATATACGCTTGTTTTTTATAAAATAAAGAGAGAGAAGAAACATGTACATCTCGAATACATCATGAACACAAAGTGTTCGTCGCTCTTTACAAGCACGAATGCTAACAATAACGATAGAAGAAACATCTTATCTTACCGAGCTGTTTCTTCTTCGACCGATATATATTGTTTATTGTAGACAAGTTTGAATAACGACCACGTTTCATCCAATTGAACATCGAGCATTGGTGTACAATGCCCACTTATGAAGAGGATACACAGCGCAACAAATGTCCTCTTTATTTTATGTAGCTGTTTAGTGGATGAAAACTAACGAGCAACGGATATATATGGTGTCATTTTTGCTTTATCATGATATTTCTGATAAGAACGAGCATGTGACATCCTTCAACAATAATAACACGAATTATTTTTGTATCTTGCACAATAAAAGAACGAGGACGAGCAAACTACCGTACTTTACCTTTGAAAGTAAAGGTGTAAGTTCATATAAGTTGATTCAAAGCAATCACAGGAGAAAAATAGAAC